TTTGGCAATAAAACCTGGAAACAAATTGGTTTCTATGAAGAGCTGCACCAGATTTTGCACCATGCAGTTTTAGTAAATAACCCCTACTGTGAACCACTGAGTTCCATTTCCACAGCATCTCGTTAGGCCGTTTATGTGTTTACCTTGCATTATGCATTGTTTCTGAAGAAATGATATGGAATTATTGTCTACACAATTTAATAACAATACTTTGCTGTGGTTGGCAACAAAAGGGGAGTTTGTACTCCATCTATATCTGTCTGTATGGTGTAAAAAAGAAAAAGTGTTTTCACTGAGGCTACAGTAATAGTACTTTGAAAAAAATCATTTTATCTGAAACCAATGCAAACAGCCTTGCTGCACTGTGCACTTTGTCAAAATAAAATATATCCACATGCCACTTGTGTTTATGGCTTGCTTCAGCCAGCAGTTGTGTGTGCTTTCAACTAAGTTTTATGATAGAAACATTGACATTAATATAGAGAGATACAAACCAAGTAAACACTGAACTTAAGTTGTTGAAAATACTTTGTGTTATTAAATATATGTATACAGAAACAGGGCGTATATGTGGAGGCATATGGTTTTAAATGATGGGAAATCGTTTAGGATGTACCTTGAATGTGTCAGGTCTTAGAACTGATAAATCTATATATTTTCACTGACCTAGAAAACCTACATAAATATGCCAAATCTTGACAGTGGATGGCATTTATTATGTTTTACACATCAATAAAATGGCTTCCTGTCAATGAAGCATTGTTTCTTGTTGTCAGATTTGTTTATTATTGCAGACACTGCTGCATTATACATTGGAACTTTCATAGCATGATACAAACACAACTGACATGCACTGCCATGCTTCTTGGGGCTGGTTTCCCCTACTTTTTTAACTGTATTATTTTACAGGTGTTTTTATGAGATCTATTTTATGTACTAATCATCTACTTACTATCTTATCATAAATGGTTTAGATGTGTAAGCCCCTGGCTTGATGATGTTTCTGTACAGATATTGAGACTGTCTATGTATGAGTCCTGGTTCACACCGTGCTATATGCGATTTACAAATCTCACCTGAAGTCGCATCTAATGTATTTCTATGTCCTAATCAGTGTGATTGGAAGTAGCACAATTTCAAAAATAGTTCCTGCACTGCTTTTTCAGATTTCATTGTGACTTGCATTGACTTCTGTAAAAATGAAGTCACAGGTCGCAGTTAAATTGGAGGCAAAAATTGAACTGTTCTGTGTATTTGAAATCGCACTACTTCAAGTAAAGTAGCGCAATTTCAAATTCGCATTCAGTGTGTACCAGGGCTTATGGTGTAACTGGCTACCTTTTCCCTTCCTGTCATTTCACCTATGTATGACAGATCTCTAGAAGAATCTGCAAGCATTAAGGCTAATAAAGCATATTCCAATACACTAGTAGTTGGCAAGTGCCCTAAACTGGAGAACAAAAAAAGAATGTTTGTAAACCTTGGACATGAAATTTAACACTATAATGTGTACTAACCTTAATCCAAAGAGTGTGGTTCCTTTCTGATCTCTCCTCTCTCTGCTATCTGCATGAGTCTGTCCTAATAGACTAAGCCTCCCAGTAGACAACCCACCCCCTCCACTACACAGCAAATGACTCATTCACTCTTCTCTATTTTTCTCTGTGGAGAAGGAGGGGGGTGTCACTTTCCTCCATACATATCTTACATTACACTCATCTCTGTGCTCTAGCTCTGCAGTGTGTGTAATGTCAGATCCTCACCCCCTGCTTTCTGCTACTAAGAAAAAAACCTTTCATATGTGTGTTATAGGAGGCTGAACAGAACAGATGGCCCCAAATAAACAGGTACAACTTATGTAGGAGAACTTACTTTATATTTGGGTATCATTTGAGGCTAGTCAATTTATTTGGCACTTAAACTGTGTCTTAAGCAACAATATATTTGTAGTAAGTGTATTTGTGTTGACCACATGTCTAGCACTGGGAGCTGTGCAGTGTAATTGTTTGTCCCTATAAGAATAGTGTTTATAAGTAAATGTATGTTATTTACATTAATAAATTGCTGTATTTGTTCTTCCAAATAATATATCATTAAGTTCTGTATGTATTGTTGTTGTCACTTATAAATTGTTAAGGCTAGCCATACATGCATTGATTTCTTTCATTCGGCCCACATGCTGAACAAGAAAAATCTAATAGAATCCTCCATCCATGCTAAACTGCCTGGGTGGAGGAATCTCCTCTACTGGTCATTATACTCAAGCAGCTATATGAATACCCAAACAGTGACTGCATCTGATAAGTCTATGAGAATGCAAAACTCACTTGAAGCAGGCCAATTTATTCGATCATTGAATTCTGAATGATCTCAAACTGATGTAAAATTGATTCTACAAGCCCAACACCTGTAGACACAGACCTGTAAGCTGGCCATATGTTACACAATTTTCTCAATCAATTTACTTTAGATTTACCTTCAACTATGTAGTGTAAGGGCCTGTCTGGTTTTGGTCAACCTATTGTAAAGGAAAAGTTTTACAAGAAAAGTGTATAATGTATGACCAGTCTTAGAATCACAAGACAGATAACATAAACAGGTTATTTATTTCATACTTATATGACCTTGGTTATGGCTGGAGGCTTCCACACTTGCCAAGTTTAAAGCAGAACTGCAGAATTATGTTTTCTGCAGTATATAAATTGTGTTAGGAGGTATATTTCACTTTAAGTATGTTTGTGATCACTTTATTAGTTATACTTCTGTGCAACCAAAGTCCAGAGAGTGAGGCTCTGACAGCTGTGCCCACCCAACTCTCCCCTTGCCCATTTACCAAACATTTTGTATTCTCTGAATAGGTTCACAGAATACAAAGTCACATACTCCCAAAGGGTTCATTATAACGGGATTTCGAGACGACAACTTTCCTCATTAGAATGCTGGAAATGTATCAGCTGATTATTAATGAAAAAGTCACTTCCATTCAGATTCACTGAGTAGAAACAGCTTTTTCTAAAGAACAGAAATAGGTAGGACACTGATATGAAGATTGGTAGAAACCTTGGAATGTACATTTATCACCCAGAGGGCATTGTTCCCCCCCCCCCCCCCAAAAAAAGTGGTGTTTTTCTTTAGAAAAATCAACATATTACTTAAAGAAGAAGAAAAGGCAACATATAAATAAGCTTCTAAATGCAAGGATAGACGATCCTTGAAAATGTTTTCAGGGAAACCTACCCCATCTCCACTAAGAACTGTACTTGAGTCACCTCCATCACATCATCCCCTGCTGCTATTACCTTTTGTATCACCTCCCCCCTCCCTTTAGATTGTAAGCTCCATGATCAGGGCCCTCACATTCCTTCTGTACTGTATTGTAATTGTACCGTCCCCCTTTATTTTGTAAAGCACTGCATAAACTGTTGGTGCTATATAAATCCTGTTTAATATTAATCATAATAAAAATGCTACCTCAAGCATTGATTTTACCCTCATTTATGTTTAGTTATTAACCACTTGCCCTCCAGAGGAAAAAGTCATGTGATAGCATGACGTAACACGTAGGACGCGAATGTGGTGATGTACTTCCGGCGCGGACGCCATCTTGCTGCACCCAATGAGTTCCCATGCATGCTTGAAAAGCTTGTTATAATCTTACTAAATGTGAGTGGGCATTTGGCTGTGCTGTGATTTGAGAGTCCCTATTAAAACGGATTTACACTATGGGAGGTTTCTTTTTATCTTTATCCTATCTGTGAGTTGGTGGCTGGCTGCTTTATACTGGAGGGGACCTGGCTGTTCCTAGTGAGGGGGATATCTTCTACCTGAGCAGGTGTCCATTACCAGTGAAGATTCCTGGCTTCAAATAACAAAAAAGCGTTTTGGCCCTTTGAGGGTTGCATCAAGGAGCCGAGGGGCCATTTTAGCCACATACAGATTATTTCCATCGATGGTGATGCACATCCACAATATCACCTGCACTTAGGAGTAATTGTAAAGGTGTTGGTGTATATGCACCTATTTGGACTTGGTTGTTTTAAGTTTTTTTATTTTTTCATTTTTGTTTTTTTTTTTGTTTACGGACTATTATATGTTCACTTATTTTTTTTTATGTGTTTGCTCATAAATATACTTTTTGTATGTGTGTTTTTTTGCCACTATTGTATTTAATTGATCCCACATTTAGGGATTCATTTTATATCACTATTTACTTTTTGGCTTAGTTTAGCCATTATTTGTCATGATCTGCATGATATTGTTGATCCCTGTTAGTGGTTCACGTTCTCATTTTCACCATCATTTGCATGAATTTATTGATCCCTATTTAGGGATTCACGCTTACTTGTGTTTTATTTTATTTTGTGTATGATCCTATTTTGGATAGTGGGGTATTGTTTCCTGTTTTTTTTATACCAGGTGTGAACACTTTTTCACTTGAGATCCCAGAGAGGATCAATCCACTGATTTATTGGCACGTATATTTATTTTATGTCACTTTATATTGAGATCCCCAGAGAGGATCAAACCACTGATTTTTTTGTCACATATACAGTATATATTTGTCACTTTGTTTGTTTTTGCCACATTGTATTATTTTCTTATTAGAGTAGCACTGCATCATTTTGGTTTCGTTAGTTGTACATAAATTACATTTATGTCCTTTTCCCACAAATAGAGATTTCTTTAAGTGGTATTTGACCACCTCTGCGTTTTTTTATTTTTTGTGCTATAAACAAAAAAAAGACCGACAATTTTGAAAAAAAAAAACAATATTTTTTTTTACTTTTTGCTATAAAAACATATTCAATAAAAAATTTAAAAAAAATCAAATTCCGTCATCAATTTAGGCCAAAATGTATTCTGCTACATGTCTTTGCTAAAAAAAAATCCCAATATGTGTAAATTAATTGGTTTATGTGAAAGTTATAGTGTCTACAAATGGCAGTATATATACTGGAATTGTTTTTTTTAATATACTAGTAATGACAGTGATCAACAACTTATGGCAGGACTGCGGGGGGGCATTCTGACACTGGGTGGCAACTGACTAACTGCCACTGACATCCCCAGTGACAATAATACAGTGATCAGTGCTAATAAAAAGCACTGACACTATACTAATGACGCTGGGAAGGAAAGGGTTAACTTTTGGCGATCAAACTGTGTGGTGTGTGTATTTTACTGTGTGCTGTGTTTTACTAGGGAGGCATGCTGTTTTGTATCTCTCTGTTCCTCAGAGAGACACAGAACAGCATGTCTATGCTGACAGGGGAGAGACCTGTGTCATGTACACACAGGTCTCTCCCTTCTCAGCTTTACCTGGTGATCGCCAAGTGAAAGCCAGGAATCGCCATCCGAGACCTGGTGATTGACATCCCTAGCCACCAATAGTGGCGCGGGTAGGGCTGCGCACCTGCACCCCATACCTGGAAATGCAAATCACATATATATATATATATATATATATATATATATATATATATGTGTGATTTTGCACAGCCCTGCCGCCCTATAGCAGTACTTCTGCTATAGGGCAGCAGGAAGCAGTTTAAATTCCTTATTGTGATTGCGTGGTTTATTTTTTGGCAGTCACATGACAGCTACCAATAATTTTTAGTACTGTGCTTTGTAAGCAGTGAGCAGAACTTTTCCACTTTACTAATGTCAGGACAGGAAAGGAGAAGAGCAGGAACTGTAGTTAAGTCTCCCTTATGCAGACCATAGACGGGGAAAAAACTGGCCGGGTTTTTTTTTAGAAAAACTAAAAATTGGTTGTTCAGTCAGCCAACGTTACCACTAGAGATGAGCGAATCGAACTTGGCGAAGTGGAATTCATTTCGAATATTAGGAAAAATTCGATTCGAATCCGAAAATTAGCAGACTTCGGATGCGCGAATCAAAAAATTTTTCCAAAAATGGCGGCGACATGTATAGCGACGGAGCGGGGATCTCTGGGAAGGCGCGCAGACAAGGCGCGCTGACCCATAATGCATTCATTCATGACATGTGATCGCATTAGCCAATCAGCAGCCAGCCAGCACTGTGTAATGGTGGAGCTATAAATTGCGGCCATCTTACAATTCTCCATTAGCCTCCGGTCATTCAAGAGAGACAGACCTCTCTGTATTAGGGACAGAGTTAGGGCCACAGATACTTTAGGGACACAGAATCGTTACTTAGGGACACAGAATTGTTACTCAGGGACACAGAACTGTTACTCAGGGACACAGAACTGTTACTCAGGGACACAGAATTGTTACTCAGGGACAGACACAGAATTGTTACTGAGGGACACAGAATTGTTACTGAGGGACACAGAATTGTTACTGAGGGACACAGAATTGTTACTGAGGGACACAGAATTGTTACTCAGGGACACAGAACTGTTACTCAGGGACACAGAACTGTTACTCAGGGACACAGAACTGTTACTGAGGGACACAGAATTGTTACTGAGGGACACAGAATTGTTACTGAGGGACACAGAATTGTTACTGAGGGACACAGAATTGTTACTGAGGGACAGACAACTGTTACTCAGGGGGACACAGAACTGTTACTCAGGGACACAGAACTGTTACTGAGGGACACAGAACTGTTACTCAGGGACAGACAGAATTGTTACTGAGGGACACAGAATTGTTACTGAGGGACACAGAATTGTTACTCAGGGACACAGAATTGTTACTGAGGGACACAGAATTGTTACTGAGGGACACAGAATTGTTACTGAGGGACACAGAATTGTTACTGAGGGACACAGAATTGTTACTCAGGGACACAGAATTGTTACTGAGGGACACAGAATTGTTACTCAGGGACACAGAATTGTTACTCAGGGACACAGAATTGTTACTGAGGGACAGACACAGAATTGTTACTGAGGGACACAGAATTGTTACTGAGGGACAGACACAGAATTGTTACTGAGGGACACAGAATTGTTACTGAGGGACAGACACAGAATTGTTACTGAGGGACACAGAAACTGTTACTCAGGGACACAGAACTGTTACTGAGGGACACAGAACTGTTACTGAGGGACACAGAACTGTTACTGAGGGACACAGAATTGTTACTGAGGGACACAGAATTGTTACTGAGGGACAGACACAGAATTGTTACTGAGGGACAGACACAGAATTGTTACTCAGGGACAGACACAGAATTGTTACTGAGGGACACGGAATTGTTACTGAGGGACACGGAATTGTTACTGAGGGACACGGAATTGTTACTGAGGGACACGGAATTGTTACTGAGGGACACAGAATTGTTACTGAGGGACACAGAACTGTTACTCAGGGACACAGAACTGTTACTGAGGGACACAGAATGTTGTTACTGAGGGACACAGAATTGTTACTCAGGGACAGACACAGAATTGTTACTGAGGGACACAGAATTGTTACTGAGGGACACAGAATTGTTACTGAGGGACACAGAATTGTTACTGAGGGACACAGAATTGTTACTGAGGGACACAGAATTGTTACTAAGGGACAGACACAGAATTGTTACTGAGGGACACAGAATTGTTACTGAGGGACACAGAATTGTTACTGAGGGACACAGAATTGTTAACTGTTACTCAGGGACACAGAATTGTTACTCAGGGACAGACACAGAATTGTTACTCAGGGACAGACACAGAATTGTTACTGAGGGACACAGAATTGTTACTGAGGGATACAGAACTGTTACTCAGGGACACAGAACTGTTACTCAGGGACACAGAACTGTTACTCAGGGACAGACACAGAATTGTTACTCAGGGACAGACACAGAATTGTTACTGAGGGACACAGAATTGTTACTGAGGGACACAGAATTGTTACTGAGGGACAGACACAGAATTGTTACTGAGGGACACAGAATTGTTACTGAGGGACACAGAATTGTTACTGAGGGACACAGAATTGTTACTGAGGGACACAGAATTGTTACTGAGGGACACAGAACTGTTACTCAGGGACACAGAACTGTTACTCAGGGACACAGAACTGTTACTCAGGGACAGACACAGAATTGTTACTGAGGGACAGACACAGAATTGTTACTGAGGGACACAGAATTGTTACTGAGGGACACAGAATTGTTACTGAGGGACACAGAATTGTTACTGAGGGACACAGAATTGTTACTGAGGGACACACACAGAATTGTTACTGAGGGACAGACACAGAATTGTTACTGAGGGACAGACACAGAATTGTTACTGAGGGACACAGAATTGTTACTGAGGGACACAGAATCGTTGAATTAAAGAGTGTGTCAGACAACACGCAGAGGAGTGGCAGAGGAGGCAATGTTTCAGGAGCGAGCAGACGTGGCAGCAGAGGAAGGGGTCGAGGCAGCACTAGTCGCAGCCAGAGGCCAGTGCTCCCGGTGTCATCCAGCGGTCGTGTCTCCACTGACAACCCTGCCGTCATCGATTGGTTGGCTCGGTCGTCTTCCTCTTCCCAGGTCACCTCTGACACCTACAGCCAATGGTCGGTGGGTACGTCAGACACAACCGTTAGTTGGCATGGCCCGGGAGCAATCCCACTGAAATCACGTGTCCTCTACCTGCCCCTGTCCTTTGGTGTTCCCTCACCAAGCGAAGTATCGCATGCTGTGGGCTCAGCCCCACTGTACAGTGAGGAAGAGCTAACAGAGGGCGGTCAGGAACGGGGGGAGACATCCGCCTCTTCAGCAGCCAGGCGAAGAAGTACTGGCGAGGAGAGTGGCTCGGTAGCCGGTCTAGAGACAGGTCTGTCTCCTGACCCACACGCAGCCGAGGGGGCTAGTAGTGAGGCGGAGACCCTAATTGATGATGATGAGGCTGATCGCACTTGGCAGCCTCGTCGTCATCAGGCTATTGCTTCCGCATCATCAGGAGAAGAGGGTGCCAGCTTGGCAGCGAGCAAAACAGTCGGTGGGTTGCCCAGGAGGCAGCAGGGTCACAGCAGTGTCAGTGGAGGCAAACGGCCATGGAGTAGAGCACCAGCTCCACTGCAGCCTACAACCACGGCCAGTAGTGGTGCCGTGTGCACGGAGGAAGTAGCAGTCAGCCAGTGAGGAGTAGCGGGGGCAAAGTTTCCTACTCGGCGGTGTGGCAATTTTTCGTCAAGCCGCCCGAGGAAGTAAATGTAGCCGTATGTCGACTATGTGGCCAGAAAGTCAAGCGTGGCCAGGGGGGCCCATGTTGGGACTACAGCGTTGCGTCAGCATATGCAGCGTCGCCATTCGGTGGCCTGGGAAAACCGTGATAAAGATACGGCGGTTATGCCTGCCCCAGCCCCCGCTCCATCACCCCGCTCCGTTACTTGCTCCGTCACCCGACGTCAATCGCCCTCTATCAGCCAGTCAAGGCTCCAACACCTCTGCTGAGGGGAGTTGTCGCTCGTTGGCATCTTCCGCTCGTTCAGATGCTCCTTCTCCTGCTACTCCTCTTTACGGATTCCGTCAGCAGTCTTTCTTGGAATCCGTTTCCAAGAGACAACAGTTTGCGAGCACGCACCCGACGGTGCAGAAGCTGAACGTCCTCCTGTCCAAGTTGCTGGTGCTGCAGTCCCTCCCTTTCCAAGTGGTGGACTCAGCACCTTTCCGAGAAATGATGGCTTGTGCCGCGCCGCGGTGGAGAGTGCCAAGCCGTCATTTCTTCGCCAAAAAGGCAGTGCCAGCCCTGCATTCACATGTAGAAGAGATGGTGGGCCAGTCTTTGAGCATGTCGGTCTCTGCCAAAGTGCACGGCAGCGCCGACGTGTGGAGCTATAACTACGGTCAGGGACAGTACGTGTCATTTACGGCCCACTGGGTGAACGTGGTGCCGGCACAGCCGCACCAGCAACTTGGACAGGTCACGCCGCTTTTGCCTCCACGTTTGCACGTCCTTGGTCCAGCAAAGATGTCCGCCTCTACCACCTCTTCTTCCGCCGTGTCCTCAGCCGCCACCCCCGTGCCAAGTCCCATTACCCGACCGGCATATCACATGTGCAGGGCGCAACGGTGTCACGCTGTGCTGCACCTGGTATGCCTTGGCGAACGTAGTCACACAGGGGAGGAACCTCTGAGTGTAATGAACAGAGAAATCGACAGATGGCTGTCTCCGTGCAAACTGAAAATCGGAACCATGTTGACCGACAACGGAAAGAACATGGTGTCTGCTCTGCGTCAAGGAAGGTTGTGCCATGCGCCATGCATGGCTCACGTTTTCAATCTGGTTGTCAAGCGGTTCCTAAAATCCACCATCCCACTGCAAGACATCCTTAAAATGTCACGTAAACTTTGCATGCATTTCAGCCATTCCTACACCGCAAAGCACACCCTCCTTGAGCTGCAGCGGCAGAACGGAATTCCACAGCATCGCCTGATCTGCGACGTTGC